AAGTCTACGTCACAGCGTCAGCGTTCGCTACAAAGCCTGGCAAACGGTATTCTTCGTATTATATCGACGCAGATGTTGCATGCCACCCACATCACAAAGCTGTTCATGCTCTTGTAGGGCATAGCTGCAGATGGTGATGGCAACGAGGCCACATCGATACAATAGCAGTGCAAGGAGTACACACCTTCATTGCAGCATGTCGGCTTCTAAGGGTTGAGAACAACACTATCGAGATATTTCTTGCTGATACATGGCAGCATATATACCGTACGCATTGCGTGAAAGCCCCTGACACAGTGTGTACTTGTCGCTGGTATGTATGACTCGGACTGGCGATAATGTGCGGTACGTATCTGTCCACAAGAGCTTCTCTTTGGTTGCGTGTCGTACCGGACAAGATGCTATATACGACCACAACTGACAGCTTCGACCTGTTGCTACGCATTGTCATCGATAGTCGGTCCTGTTGTTAGGCTTTTGTCGCAGCAAGCAGTCGACGTGTTCTTCCTAAGCGCAGGTAGCGCACTGTTCAGGCTCTGTCGATAGCTAGTCACACATATTCCAATAGAGCTTGCCGAACGAGGTGGCTCGATGTCATTACGCTGACCGGTCCAGAGTGTCCCGCTCGCCGCACTGGGTGACGTAACACTTTGCAGGTGGGCACGATGTTTGTTAGAGACCGACCGTCTCCATGGGGTTCAGCGCGGTTAGAAATGAGCTGTTTTACGATACAACTTCGCCAGAGCTATTCGCAAAAGCCCACATCAAGGGCGAACGATCCGAAATCACGGACGTTTAAACAGCGATAAAATCGTCGAGACCGGTTAAACCAACGATACTGCACATTCGAGAGAGTCGAAGTAGTAGTAGTAGTAGTAGTAGTAGTAGTAGTAGTAGTAGTAGTAGTAGTAGTAGTAGTAGTAGTAGTAGTAGTAGTAGTAGTAGTAGTAGTAGTAGTAGTAGTAGTAGTAGTAGTAGTAGTAGTAGTAGTACGTAGTAGTAGTCAGTAGTAGTAGTACGTAGTCGTAGTAGTAGTAGTAGTAGTAGTAGTAGTAGTAGTAGTAGTAGTAGTAGTAGTAGTAGTAGTAGTAGTAGTAGTAGTAGTAGTAGTAGTAGTAGTAGTAGTAGTAGTAGTAGTAGTAGTAGTAGTAGTAGTAGTAGTAGTAGTAGTAGTAGTAGTAGTAGTAGTAGTAGTAGTAGTAGTAGTAGTAGTAGTAGTAGTAGTAGTAGTAGTAGTAGTAGTAGTAGTAGTAGTAGCAGTAGTAGTAGTAGTAGTAGTAGTAGTAGTAGTAGTAGTAGTAGTAGTAGTAGTAGTAGTAGTAGTAGTAGTAGTAGTAGTAGTAGTAGTAGTAGTAGTAGTAGTAGTAGTAGTAGTAGTAGTAGTAGTAGTAGTAGTCGTAGTCGTAGTAGTCGTAGTGGTAGTAGTAAAACAGGTGCTGCGCCTGATGACTGTCGTCGACCACGTCGTGTTCCGAACCAACTGCCACACCGCACACTTCACGCCGCTCCTAACTCAGTACGCGCACCTGCCACGTTCGTCGTCGCAGCGGTACTGCGACCAGAGGGCAACAAGTCGGCGCCCCGATGACCACTTGCACACGACATCATACGAACCTGCGCAGACCATTTGTTGCTGGCTCTGCCCGCACGACGAAACCGCCTGCAGCGATCGCAATGACACGAAAACTTGTGCGACGCGAAGGCGGTGGGTGGGGATCGAGTCGTTCGTGGCAAGTCGATGCCGCTCACGCAGCGCCTTAGCTGCAACGTGCAGTGACTGAACCTCTTTGTTCACTATTGCTGCCGTCGTTGGCGACATGGCGACGGACGAGACAAAAGATCACCGCAGCAGGTACCGCTTGCACGTCCCGCGGCTGCAAGTTGAGGCGCGAAGACGCCTGTAGCGCTGTGTGCATGTGAACGTGGGAGAAAAGTTGTCTGCTTGTCCCCTGCGTTCCCCTTGTCAGACTGCTCTGTTCGTACAGACGTCGATCGGACCGCCAGGTGAACGGCCCAAAGGAGAGAGTTGAGGCACCCGCAGGCGATCCACAGTGTCCCACAGGTGCGCGTGCGACACATTTCGAGCAGAGGAACGACACCGCCGCCTTCGGACACTGTCGATCCGCTGCGGATGGGTCAACGGACTCGGCGGTCCGGACAGGAAAATAAACGGACGGACGGACGGACGGACGGACGGACCTCTGTCTACCCACTTGTCCGCTTGTGTGCATTGCTATCGATATGTAGGAGGATGAAAACACGTGGCACGCGGCTGCCCTTACTACGGCGGCGCAGGAGAGAGCAAGAAGACGCATTGTGTGTGACGCACGAGGCGACGCGATCGGTACAATCACACTCCATTGTTTATAAACTAATGCACACACAGCTCTCTCTCAATCTCTCTCTATCGCCATTGTTCCTTCACGTCCACTGTCGTGTCGCAGTACGCCATGGCGTCGACAAGGGCCTCTCAGAGGTAAATCAGAACGGGCTGGTCGCTCTGCAGTCGGTACTGTCCCCCGCTTGCGACGGATGATGGGGATGATGGTGATGATGATGATGACGATGAGGAAGAGGAGGAGGAGAAGGATAGTCGACGTGTTCAGCGGCTGCCGCGGCCATGTCGTCGACAAAGAGACACTGTAGTACGTCGAGGATCTCGTGATCCGAGACATTCGTCTCGTCCGTCGTGCTCGAAGTCAGCTCACGAGCAGCAGCAGCAGTAGAAGTCGTACTACCCGTAGTAGTAGTGCTGCTGCTGCTGCTCGTGCTACTGGCGGTCGGAGACGCAGGTGCGTCCGACGTCCAGGCCGCATAGTCGGTCAAAAAGGGCGGACTCGGGCGCACACACGGCATCCGGAGGTGCAGCGGCGCCGCCGCCCGCGCCGCAGCGACCGCGCCGGGCGCGTGTTGCGTCCGCAAGTGGCGCGTGAGGTTCCCGGCCGTGCTGAACGTCTTGTTGCAGCTCTCGACGACGCAAATGTGCGCGACGCTGCCGAGGTGGTTCTGCAAGTGGCGCGCGAGCTTGTCGGCTTTCGTGAAGATGCGGGTGCAGCCCTGGACGGGGCACTCGAGTTTCTTGAGCAAGTGGAGCCGTCGGTGGCGCGCCAAGTTGCCCGACGTGCTGAAGCGCTTGGCGCACGACCGGATCGGACACTGGTACGGCTTCTCGCCCGTGTGCGTCTTCATGTGCTCACGGAGCGTGAACTTGCGCTGGAAACGGCCGTGGCACGACGGCACGGGGCAGTGGAACGGACGTTCGCGGGGCGAGACGGACTCGGTGGGCAGTGAGTTGTCCCGGGGGGTGGTAATGATGGACCGGATCGAGCTCATCGTGCAGAGGAGGAAGAGGTATAGTTGCAGCGGTAGTTGCAGTGGTAGTTGCAGTGGTACTGGCTCCCGTGGGGGTCTAGCAGATACTTTGGTCGCTAGGAAGTGGCAGGCGGCAAGTTGCAAAGTGAGCCTCTCGAGAGAGAGAGAGAGAGAGTCCGTGGCGAGCGCTGCCGCCCGAGCGACATGCGCGAACAAAGCGCGAGCGGTTTGCTGGAAAGCAGTGCCAGGCGTCGGTCGAGCTGTGACTACCACGCGAGGCCGTGGCCAGCCGGTGGGCCGGCGCGTCTTTGTTAACGCTCGGCTCGTCCGTGTGCGCTGTCTCGGCGTGTGTGAACGCGCGGCTCGAAGCCACTCGTCGTGTAGAGAAGCAACAGGTTACGGCCGCCGTCGTGGCGTCGCGACGCAGCAAGTGGCAGGGCCGGACCCGCACGAGGGCGACGAGGGTGGCTCGGTCCGGCCCAAAAGTCGCGATTGCAAGAGGGCGTTGACAACAACGACGACGACGAGGCACGTGAAGGCTGCAAGTCCACCGAGATCAAGGGACAACCGACGACGAGCGGGAGATGAGCGAACGAACGAGCGAACGACCGACCCGACCGACCGCTGTCGATGACGGCACAGAGCACGGACTCGTTCGTGGCCTGCCCCGCTTTACGAGTCGCCGCGGGCGTGGACCGACTGGATGATTGACCCCATCCCATCTTCCTCGAGCGTCTAGAAAGAAGGCGGTGAGCACGAGTGGGGGAAGGGAAGCCCACGGTGATCTCTCCAGCGATGTAACATACCGGACGAGCGTGAAAGCGACGGTCGAGATGCTTCCGCCGCGAGCGACGGTGGGACGATCGACGGGGTAGTAATTGCAGGCGCTGGAGCTGTGGTACGCGCGCGAGTCGTCGCGATTCAGGTTGAAGCTCGTGGCGCACCCGAGACGCGCAAGTTACTCACGCGACGACTGGGGCGCCCCACAAGCGCAGAGGCCGAGTCGATGGGCGGCTTCACGCGAACCAGCTGCTCGATGGCTGCGGGGCCGACGTGACGACGACCGCGTGCGTCTATCTGCTCCTCACGCGCGGTTCAGTCAGGAGCAGTCGTTGTTGCATCATGGCGGAACGTTCGCATGTCCGTCCGCGCAAGTGCGGTTTCCAGACGCGGGAGCGTGGGCGCTACGCAATACTGTCGACGAGCGCGTGCAAAGGTACAAGCGAAACGACGGACGACAAGTGTCGTCGTCGTTGTTGTTGTCACAGTCGTTGAAGACCGCGTGTGTGGTTGCAAAGTTTACGTCCGCGTAGCTGCGCTCGCTCTCTCTACGCGCTCCTTAAACTCAGCTGGTAGTACGCAACGCGCTGAGATAGCAGCGCAACTTTGGCTGCGCTCTTAATGTCCAGCCATCATCAGAGCAGGCGGTTAGCTGTGCAAAGTCGAGCCGCAGGCCGACGCGTGGGCGCAACAAGTGGGACAAGAGGAGCTGAGCTCCGGCCAGCCACGTGCTTCTTGCACACACGTGACGCGATGCGGGGGGGGCTGCAACTACGGACATTGGTAGCATACAAAAGAAGAGAGAGAGAGAGAGCTAACGAGGGACCGAGAGAGCAAGACGTCGGGACGAGCTGCACCTGCAGAGGCTGTTACCTGCGCGCCCATCGGTGCGGCAAGTAAACGCCGGGCAGCATATCTTTGCAATGACTCGGAAGAGGATCGTTGGTGACTCGCCAGTGAACTGACTCTCCCTCTCACTGACTCACTACTCCTTCCCGTCGCGGGAAAGGCCCGTGCGATACTCATGACGTCGTATATGTCCATGGCCTCGCCCGCGCGGGCAGGGGGTCGACCGCTCGTTGAGAAAATCAAGCCGACTTGTGTCGCGTCCTTCCTTTTGCAAGACAATCGACCAGGTCCCTAGTGCACCCCTAGCGTCGGCGGATGTGTGTGTGTGTATGCCATTGCTGCCTTGAAGTTGTCGAATGTTTACGTACGTGTGGTTGCAAACACCGACCTGCACGTACACACGCACGCACGTGCGTGTGTGTGTGTACGTGTGTAAGTATGTATGTATGTACGCCGACGCGTCGCTGGCCGAGGCGGCCCTGTTCTCGACAATCGAAAGAAGACATTGGCACGGCCGGCCACGTGACATGTGGCCTCGAGGTCGTTGCTACCTGCTCGAGAAATACGTCAAAGTCACGCGCGACAGTCTTTAGCGACAGTCGGAAGAAGAAGAACAAGAGATGTCGCAGCTTCATCCCACCGACTCGAAACATGTGGGCAAAGTCTCAGCAGCAGCCGACGCAGATGCAGCGAGCCGTGTGGCTCGATTCTGCGCCTCGTGGTGGTAGCCATCACGAGGTGCAGCGTGCAGCCCGACGCGGCTCTCTCTCTGCGCCCGCAGTCACCAACACCTGTCCCTTCCTCTCGACACTAATCGGGACAATGGCGCGGCTGCAGCAGTGTCTATCCCACAGCCGCCAGCGATGACTAAACAAGTTGTAGCCGCTCACAAGCGCTTGTTCCACGACGTTTTCGAGCTGTTTCGTGGCTGCCCACGAGAGCAGTCGAGAGAGCGCATCGGGGGCGGACGTCTCGGCCTCCACTTGTCTGTCCATGGACAGTCGAGAACGGATCGCCTGCAAATCGCTCGGGGCCGCAAAGGGCGTGCACCAAAAATTGGCATCAAGAGAGAGAGAGAGAGAGAGAGAGAGAGAGAGAGAGAGAGAGAGAGAGAGAGAGAGAGAGAGAGAGAGAGAGAGAGAGAACGATGGCTCGTGACATCGGTGGCGACTGATTACGTCCGCCGTGTGCTCGAAGCCGCGACAACGAGCAGCAAATCGCGAGCCGATGGCTCCTGGACGCGACGATTACAGCGACGAGATGGACTCCTCCGCCTCCTTTGTTGAGCTGCACAGAGAGGCAGCGCCTGACTTTTTTCAAGTCAGATAGGCGCGTGGTCGAATATTTCGCTCTTGCGCGGGCGATTTGCTACAACTGGGCGACTGCTTTTGGATTACTCCCTCGACACGAGGCCGGAAAAATCTGACCTGCAGACAAGTCGCCTTCTGCTTCTTCTGCTGCTGCTGCTGCTGCTGCTGCTGCTTGTGCATCATAAGACCTCACGTGGCTGTGTTGACTCGACCGTGGGCTGATTTGTGCGCCTTCTCCTTCTTCTTCTTCTTCTTCTTCTTCTGGTCGCGAGGTGGCGAAAGACGCGACAAAGGGGATCGGTCAGCAGCTCTTTTTGCGTGGGCACATCGCGGGCGGGCAGCGGTGATCCGGTCTGACTCGCCGCCTTCCCATCTTCTCGCACTCGGCGACGCGCTCCCCTGCGTAAGAATATCAATCCGGTGGTGACTCGGTCCATCCATCGGTCCATCAATCGATCTCTCTCTCTCTCTCGTTGATCGATCAATGGATCGCTTTGTGATGTGCCTGTCAACCTGCGTGCGAAATCGATTTGCGAAGCAGAGGCGCTCGCAAACGAAAGTGAGCGACCGACTCGCCGTCGTGAAAGACGCCGCACGCCACATGACGCGGTGCAGCTTTGGTCTCACATGGCGTGTCGCGCAGAACTTGAAGCAGAGACGTTCCGCGACGAAGAGCGCTGTCTGCCGCATAGCAGCGCAGAGTCAACACGCGAGCAACGACGAGAGCCCATCGAGGGAGATCCGACTGACTGCCTCGTGCCGACCTGAAAGAGAAAGATACGCGACCGAGTGCACTGCATCGGTCGGTCCAAAGGCCGTCGGAGGCGCCTCAATCACTCGCACACGGACCTCTTCCAAAGTGCCGTCGACAAGTCCCACACACACACGTTCACACACACACAAATGCCATACTCGCCGACCGATCGATCCGCAAATGACCGGACGCCGGCCGCCCGACCGACAGTAAAGACGTCAAAACGTATGTGTCAGCCCCGCCGCTCGCCGTGCAGGAACGACCGAATGCACTGTGATCATAGTTTACGAATAATTGACCGCCTCTCACTACACCTTTAGATGGTGGCGCTCGTCCCTCTCCTCTCTCTCTCTCTCTCTCTCTCTCTCCTGTCTTCTCTGGTCCCTGACCCGGTCTAGAACTCATACGTCGCCGTCAGGTACGACGTCTGAGCTTGAGGATGTGCCACACCCGCTGCCGTCAGCGAATTTGACGGTCGCGTGTCCCGCGGCAACTCGAGTTTCGGCAGGCGGTCGCGGATGACCGCCACGTTGTTCGGGTGGTGGCCGTTCGCCGCGGCGGCCGCGGCCGCAGCCTGCGCGTTCTCGAGGAACAGACAGTCAAAGAGGTCCTGGACGTCCGACTCGAGGATCCGCTGCGCCGGCGGGTGCGGCTCCACGGGCGCGTGCGGCGGCCACAAGAGCCCGCGCATGGGCAGCGACCCGGTCGGGAGCGGCGCGCTCCGGCCGGGGAACTCAAACTTGGGCCGCGGGAGCGTCGGCGACGGCCCGGGGGCCGCGTCCGACGGCGTCGCCGGTCCCACGCGGTGCTGCGTCCGGCGGTGCCGCGTGAGGTTTCCGGCCGTGCTAAAGGTTTTGCCGCAGCCGGCAAAGTCGCACGTGTGCGGCGTGCGCGCGAGGTGCACCTTCAAGTGCGGCACGAGCTTCTCGCGGCTCGTGAACACGCGTGTGCAGTGCGCGGCCGGACAGCTGATCTTGCGCATGGCGTGGAGCTTCCGGTGGCGCGCCAAGTTGCCCGACGTGCTGAAGCGCTTGCCACACTCGGCCACGGGGCACTGGTGCGGCTGCTCGCCCGTGTGCGTCTTGAGGTGCTCGTGGAGCGTGAACTTGCGGTGGAAGCGGCCGCCGCAGTTCGGCACTGGGCACGCGAACGGCCGGTCTTCGGACGGCGCGGCCCGACGGGCCGTGCTGGGCCGACGGACGGCAGCGGCTCCGGTCGGCCCGGAGGTTGTGGGGTCCGGAGGGGGCGTGTCTGGCGCTACGGCCGCGTGCGACGGCACGAGCGTCGGCGTGAGACCGCTTGGGCCGTTGTGACTGTGGTGCGGGTGCGTGTGGTGATGGTGGGGACTCGGCGAGTACGTGTGCTGAAGCGGGTCGGGCAGTTGGTGCTGGTGCTGGTGCTGTTGATGGTGGGGGTGCGAGTGGTGTTGTTGGTGGTGTTCGGGATGGTGAGGACGTTGGTGGTGGTGCTGCTGGTGGTGCTGCTGCTGCTGCTGCTGCTGCTGTTGTTGATGGTGGAGCTGGTGGTGGTGGTGCGGGTAGTGGTGCGTCGAAGACGAGCTCGTGCTCCGCTGGAGGTAGAACGGCGGGTCGCGCAGGTTGTCGCTCAGCATCGCTTGCATGGTGCGTGACGGGCGGAGACGGACGGACGGACGGAGGTGAGACCGCGGGCGCGAGTTCAACTGTGGCTCGCCCTGTTCGGGTCGAGCGGGTACGTTGAAAAATACGCGGCCGGCTCGCGGGCGTCGACCACCTCCGCTCGGCTATATCTGCTGCTGCTGCGACTGCTGCTGCTGCTGGACGTGTCGCGGTGGCAGCTGGTTTCGTGGTCGGTCGACTCGTCTCCGGACCATGTCAAGCAGCACATAGGACCGGCCGTCGCGGAATTCGCGTGCAAACAGGACACATCAGATGCTTGCTTGATTATGGCAAGCGCGATCGCCCAGCAGCAGCAGCAGCACCGGCGGCGGCGGCTGGCGAGCTGCTGTTCGCACCCGGTGCAGCAGAGTGGACAGCGCAGCAGCTCCGGTCGGTCGTGGCGATTGGCTGCGGGCCGGATGACGGGCAAATCGGGGCGGCTTGCCGGACCCATCTGACGCCGACACTGCTGCGCGCCGCGTTTCTACCGCCGCGCTCGACGTGACGGCGGCCGCACGGCGCGCGGTTTTCGCACCGGGTGCGCGCTCGACAGCCGGACGCGTCGTGGATAGACGACGGCCGCCACCTACTTTTTCTCCCGGAAGATGGGCAGGATTGGCCGCACGCGGCCGCTTGGGCTGCCGTCGTCGTGGACGTTGACGCCATCGATCGATCGATCGATCGATCGACCGCTGCGTCGACTTCGGACAAAGTGTCGTCCGGCACGAAGCCACGCGGCCGGCGAAACGGTTGAACGTGCGCGGACGTTGTCGGAAGAGCTTATTCCGCGGCGGCCGGTTGGAAAACATGACGGCCGGCCGGCCGGCTGGACGGACGAACGCCAGTGGTGTCGGCAATCGAGTCGTGCGTGACGACCGCGTCGGCGGTGGTGGTGGTATATGTCACGGACGGTGGAACGTTATGGCGTTACGGCCGGCGTTACGTGCGCTTCCCCACCTGATACCGCTTGTCACCATCGCGTCTGCGAGCAATTCGTCAAGGGGATTTGATCAGCGCGTCGTGTGCCGGAAAGCTCACTCGGTCGGGGACCGACGAGCGCGCTTTGCTGCCGCGCGAGAGACAAGAGACTGCAGCCGGAGACTTAAGCCGGGGAGAGAGAGAGAGAGAGAGAGAGAGAGAGAGAGAGAGAGAGAGAGAGGTGGCGAGACGATACGTCGGACGGTCTCCACTTGACAACCCGCTGCGGCCGTGCGACTACCACTACACTATTGCCCGTGCGATCCTTCGACCAGGAACGGAAGGAGGGGATCAGGAGCGCACGGAGTCGAGCAGTTAGTAATCATCGCAACGTACGGTGGCGCTCTGACACACTGCGTGATCAGTGAGAGCGTAGATGGGCAAAAGGGCCGAGAAGCTCAGGTCATTGCGTCGATGACGACGATTGAGGAGGAGAACGACGAGGACGAGGAGCTCATGCTGAAGACACATTACGGTACACATGGCCACGAACGAAATGCTTCACTCTGTATCGCTCGCTACGGCTGGTGGTACGCGCTACGGAGAAGCGGTTCGCTGCGGATGATGCCGTGTATGCTCGCGACCGGCGCCGTCGTGACGGCAGCGTCGACGTTCGTGACAAACAAACAGTCGAGCAGGTCGCGCACGTCTTGGTCGGAAAACCGACTGCACTGGTGGCCGACCGCCACGGGCGCTGTGACGAGCAGCGCGCCGGGCACGACCGGTCCGCGCGCGATCCAACTCGGAGGTCCGTTCAGCGGGAGCAGACGCTCCGGTCGCAAGTTCTCGGCCGGCGTGACGTTCTTTCGCAAAGGCTGACGGCGACCGCTGTCGTCCGGACCGCTCGGGCCCTTTTGATGGCGCGTGCGACAGTGTCGCGTCAAGTTGCCCGACGTGCTGAACGTCTTGTGGCAGCCCGCGAGTCCACACGTGTACGCGGTGCCCGAGAGGTGGACCCCGAGGTGCCGCGTGAGCGTTTCGCGGTCGCGAAACTCGCGCGAGCACGCGGGCGTGGGACAAACGAGTCGCTGCACGGCGTGGAGCTTCCGGTGGCGGGCCAAGTTGCCCGACGTGCTGAAGCGCTTGTGGCAGTGCGCGACGGGCACTGGTGCGGCTGCGCGCCCGTGTGCGTCTTGAGGTGCTCGTGCAGCGTGAACTTGCGGTGGAAGCGGCCGGCACAGGTCGGCACGGGGCACGTGAACGGCCGGTGTTCGGACGGCGGGGCCCGACGCGGCCGCAACGGTCCATGGGATGCGAAGCTACTGCTGCTGCTATTGTTGTTCAGCGGTGGGGGGACAGACGCGTGCATGGGTGGGTGCAAGCCAGTCGAGTTGTCTATCGGTCTAAGGCCTCTAGCTCAGCCACATGAGCAGGTTGACGACGACGGACAGGAAGGATAGCGGCGACCAAGTGGGGAGTAGCACCTCCTTGTGGCACTGGATACAGGATGGGAAGAGCGTGCCGGAGCGCGCTCGAGGCTTTGCCCGTGCGGTCCGAAGGTCTCATGCACTACTCTGCTGTCCCTGTCTGTCTGTCTGCCTGACGTCCGTCGGGGTCCGCTCGGGGACGAACGGCCGGCGACAAGTGTATCGTCCGCCGACGCGGCTGTGTCTGCACTGATTCCGCCGGCAGACCCTCTGGACGCAGAGGCCGCTCGGGACGTCTTTTGTTGCCCGACGAGGACGTTGGGGGGATACGCTGCAGTGGGCCACGCAGTGTCACGTGTGGATCAGCTTTTTCTTCAGTCTGTTGCTCGCTCAAAGTTAATGCATCGCCGACGGACGCGCTGTGGTTCACGTTGCGTCTCTCTTTGCCTCGTCGGTCGATTCCCCATCTCTCGCGCTCGCTCTCTCTCTCTCTCTCTCTTTGTATGTGACGACCGGTCGACCGCTGCTGCGGCGATCGCGCGTACAAGTTGCGACACGAACGATCGTGTGCCAATCGTTCCGACGAATGTGTCGATGTGTGCTTAGGAATGGGATCCAAAGAGATGAGGAGGAAAAGAGAGGAGAGAGAGAGAGGAAGGAGTGATTACAGTGTGCGTCTGGCAAATCGCACGCGTTCGAGACGGAGGCGCGCGCCTCCTGTCGACCTCATCGGCTCATGACAAGTAGTCAGTCAAGTCAACCAGTCAGTCCCAGTGCTCATTGAGCAGTGCCTCACTCGCCCCGTCGTCGCGACTCCTCTCTCGGATAACGCCGCTGCGGTCTCAAATCGCCATGAGCGACTGACGCGGCGAACGGCGCCGCCCGAGCAATCAACTGGAGTCCTGGAAATTGATTGGCAGCACGTTTATGCTCTACTGAACAAGGACGGAAAAAGTTGTCACCACGTCGCTCGCTCCGTTGAGCTACGAGCAAAGCCACGTGCTGTAGCTGTGCCAATTGTGGGGGATGAGTGATACAACGTCGGGGACTGTGGTCAAGCGGGAGGAGTGGGGGGGGGGTCGAACGTGTCGTGAGATGTGTGTCTCACTGGGTGAGGTGTCGTGCGGTACGAAACTGAGGCACACGACCAGATCGATCCTCGCCGGTCGATTGTCGACCGCCAGTCGCCTGTTGGCCTCGAAAGTTTGGTCGGCTCGGCACGTGATATCTCAGCGTCGTGTTGCTTCGCGTCATTGGCCGTTTCGGACCACGTCAGTAGGCCGTTTGTGATCGCGCGGGGGTCATATTCATTGGCGACTTTGCTCTTCTCTCGGCTGTTCGTGGACATGAACATGTCATTGCAGGGAATCGACTGGCGCTTGTCGACGACTGCCAATCCGCTAGCGGTTGTGATCTCCTCCTCTCTAATGCCCTTTCGGATGCAGAAGGACAGTGTATCGCCGCCGGTCATGAGAGCATGTGAGCGCACATCATCGGGCAGCGTCTCGCACAAGCAGCAAATCGTTACGCGGGAGGCGCACCTGATGCGGTTTTGGCCTTTACCAGTGGCTTTTGAAGTTTCGTGAGCGCTCTTATGGTTGTGGGAATCGCCCGAGACGGCGGAAGTCAGAGAGGTAGTCATGAGTCATGCGGAACAAACGGAGCATCCAAGATAGGGACGGGGCTAGGGATTTGAGGCTCAGTTAAGGGAAGAGGAGACCAATAGAGTCCTGTAAACTCGAGGCACTGCCCGCGCAAATCAGTCGGGTTTTCAATCGACGGATTTAGCTCACCCCGGCGGTCTTTTATCACACGCACGAGCTAAAGCTGAGGCAAAGACCATTGCGAGGAACGAGACATTGATTTCCGTACACCGTCGCCGGCCCACTCGTCGACTCGGCGTTTCTAAAAGACACCAAAACGGCAGTTTTATCGTTTGCATCCGTCAGTCGTCGGTCGCCCCTTTGCCACTGTTTCTTATCGTCAGTCGAGCCATTCCGAAGAAACGTTCGTCCAACGAGAGAGTGCTCATGATATAAAGATACGCACTTGGGCTGTCCCCGTTGCACAAAACATTTGCGTACAGTCGTCGTCGCGCCACTTGCAACAGAACAACACCGTAGCAGCACTCGTAGTAGTAGTTAGTCTGCAGTCGTAACCCATCGCACGTCTTGCGACGAAACTTACCCCCCCCACAGCGCCGACACAATCGAAAATATATCTGATTCCCCACCCGGTCATTTCGCATTCGTCCCGTAGTAATATGCCGCCCGCCGTCTTGTCTTCCGTAGCAGTGCTCCTATTTGTATGGTCAAGTAACAATACTACTACTGCACATGCCAAAGAGTACTCGACAAAGTCAGGTGTTAAGCCGTGGGTGGACCCCTCGACACCTGAGACTGCACGGCACATGCGCACGTCGAGAGGAGAGACTTGGGATCTCGTGATGAGCGACGAGTTCAATACGGCGAAACGCAGTTTTCGACCAGGGGACGATCACTTGTGGACATCGCTGGAGAAACCCGATGGGGTCAATGGCGCGCTGGAGATTTACTCGCACAATATGACGTCCACCCGGTGCGACGACAGTGGCGACTGCTACTTGTACATTGAAGCGGCGGACGAGACAACGACCATCACAGTGTATAACGCGTACCTCAAGCCCCCCGCGTACGAGAACGTGACGTTTTACTACCGAGCAGCGATGGTCCAGTCGTGGAACAAATTCTGCTACCAAGGGGGCTTCATTGAAGTCCGAGCCCAATTACCGGGAGCCGTATCCCAACATTCAGGTAATCCGGATCTCGTTCAAGGCAAAGCTGGACGCGTAGTCAGCGGTACATATTACCCGACGTGGCCAGGCATTTGGATGATGGGGAATCTCGGTCGGGCCATCTTTTCAGCGTCCACGAGTCGGATGTGGCCCTTTTCGTACAACAAGTGCGAACCAGAGCTCTTCGATCCCAAGAACCAGCGCATCAGTGCTTGTGACGACGAGCCTGGCTACGGTCTCCATAGCAATCAGGGCCGCGGGGCACCGGAAATCGATATCTTGGAAGGAGGCGGAGCAGCGATCTCGGCGTCCTTGCAAGTTGCGCCTGGGATGCCGACTGACTTCCGACTCTTTCCCGCGGACCCTGCGCACGATGGACACGACATGGTCTGCGTCTTCAAGTACAGTTGCAAGACGCCTGGCGCAAACTTCATTGACGTGCCGACGAAGTACTATGAGAAGAAACGCGGCCACAAGTCGTGGTACCAAGGTCTTCGCTACGCGGCCAACAACTTTTGCCATTCTTCAAGCGATGCGAAACAGGACGTCAGCACGATTACCGCGGCGATCAAAGCTGGCATCACCGACAACAATTGCACAGCCAGCACGTGTCCAGCGTCGTTTGATGCGAACAGTGACTTGAGTGCAATCGATGGGGTCGGCAACGACTTCTGGGGCATCAACACGAACGGCACGTGCTATCCACTGATGAACTCGTACACCGGCGCATACTTGTGTGATCCGGATAACACGGACAAGAACTGCCTGGAACCGCGCAACTCGACGACACCGAAAACCAACTCCATGGATCCATTCAACTACCAAATCGACGCCATCTCAGCAAATTGGCCCGTGCATCTCGGTGTGTACACAAACTACCTTCTGTACCAGATCGAATGGGTCACGGGACAGGACGGATACGTGCGCTGGATGCTGGCTGGTCAGCCTCTTTTTGAAGTCACTGCCGAGTCACTAGTGCTCGTCCCGCAGAACGCCAAGAAGAACAATCCGCAAAAGCTCATGCTTGAGGAGCCAATGTCCATTATCTTCAACGTGGCATTGTCACGGTCATGGAGTGCTGTGCCGCCAAATCCTGGCAGCGAATGTCGTGGCGACGGCAGCGACGAAGCTGTCAACAAAATTTGCAACGACTTTCCAATGTTCATGAAAGTTGACTACATCCGGTTGTATCAAGATCCGAAGGGGAATCGTGGACCCGATGATTACATGCAACTCGGGTGCGATCCAAAGAGTCATCCAACACGAGAATGGATTCAAGGCCACTTGGAGGAGTATGAAGATACCGACAATCCATGGAAAGAGGTGACGGGCAAAGCCTTTTGTACAACGGACAGCGACTGTACTATCAACCGCAATGGCGCCCAAAAGCTGATCACGGGCAAATGCCTGGAATCTCGATGCACGTGCTTGTACCCGACTTCGTGGGGTGGTCCGCGGTGCACCTTTGCGTTTGCCGGCGATGTCAACAGCACAGCGTTCGCCACGCAGCGCACTTACGGTCCGCCAATGGAGATCTCGGTGATTGTAGCAATCCTCATACTCTTGTCCACTGTGATTGCCGCGTGGATGTCCATCCGCACGCTCAAGAAACAGGCGGATGAAGCCATCTTGGCCGCGGAAGTAAAGAAGTATGAGCAACCGAGGCCGTCATATCCAACTCGTATGTACTCAGCAGTGTACGAGTGCGACACGTCCCATCCGAAAGACAACTACAGCCAGAATTTTCTGTAGTCCACGCTTTCACCAAACGTTTTGTCGACATCACGAGCGCAATTTGGCGCTTATCAAACCTTCTTCGAGTGTACAGTCACTTTGGAACTCGATGATGACTACTGTGACGCGGGTCTTGTAGTACAAAGTGGGTGTTTACCACGCAACGAGACAGATTGTTTTTCTCTTGCCAGGTGCACTCGATCGTAGAATGCCGAAATCGTTGCTGTCTTGGCGCGAGAATCGGGAGTTCTGCATGATTTGAGTCCTTGTTGAAGCACAAGGCCTATTGTGATAGCCTCGTAGCCCGTGCTATCCGACCCCGGTAACTGAGAAACGCTTTATGATCTGCTTTTACAACGAAACAAGGTAAACGTCCTTACCAGATAGTCGATGCCATTATCAGCAGCAACACAATTCGCTTGACGTGGAAAGCGCCGATCGCAATGATGCCGTTCGTGCAGATTGTTGAGTGGGGACATTGTCGTGAGAGCGCCGTAATCCATTGACCACGTCGACTTGATGATCGTCATGCACGATAGGAGAGAACACCATTCGATGATTTACTAGTAATCGTCGACTAGCGATGACGTATCGAGTCGCCAAGTCTGCGTCTTGATACGAAGCATTTCGCACGCTTCATGTCTTGTGAGTCGCACAGTGGAAGTGGGTCTCGTTATAAGATGAGACACAAAAGGTAGCACATCCCCGGTAAGGTTAATACAGCGATGCAGTTTAACCGTCGGCATGCAACAACAATCCACATGTTGCCCCACTGGAAAGACACAGTCTATGATTGGCTACGCGATATCGACAATCAACGATACCATTTCATGATTTGTCACGCTAGATAGAAAGCAGTCAGTCCCAATGGAATGAACACGCTCATCCTGCGTCGCAAACCCGTTCTCACATCATCGCTGCAGTCGTTGCGTCGCCTTCTTTTTGCAAGCTCAGTCAATCAAAAATTGCGTCGAGCTCGTTCAAAGTGCCGCTTTTCATCAACAGATTCGATGTGCTGATGCTGGTCAGGCTTGACTACGCGCGCAGACTGTCCACTTCACTTGTCTGTTTGTTTGTTACAACGTCCGAAGCTGCGATCTGTGGTACACAGAAGTACAAGCAAGCGTCGCCACGCCCACAGTTCTGACAGAAACTCGTTGCCAGTTGATCAGACAGTCGACCTCTGCCCTGGGCGAGGTGGGTGAGGGCTTGCATTATGAGTGCACGTTTGCTGGCCAAAACATCAGATGGCGCTCCAACGCAGAGCATCGAGACAGTACGGCCATCGCTGCAGAGGTGATGCAAAAGCCCGCAGGCGGATCTTCAAGCAGTAGCTACGTGATCAAGCGGGGACTTGTAGCCGCGCAAATAGTTCTTTGTTACCGCCAAAATACCAAGTTGTCTCGCACGTCGATATCTGGCCGCATGCCAAATGAGGACAATCCACGCTACTCACATCTGATGTCCATATACATTGCTTACTCGCGAGCGCATTAGGCTTGCGGCTCAAACGTCATTTTGTGACCATACCACGTCCACTCGGCGACAAACACTCGATATCTAGGCACAGCATTAAGTAACACAGTCTGCAGTTACAAGCTGTATCTGGGTACCGCAAAGCTCCTCACTATCGGGTTCCACGGTGCCCATACCCACGGCTTGCTGTTCACCGCTCCAGTCTCGTGAAAGCGCCAAGACTACACCATTGTACCTGCTAATCGCGCATCAGCCTAGCTTTGCCACAATCGACAGTTATACCAGCAAACGTTGCGACGCGCGACTCGTACGTGCACCGTCAATTTGTGCAGTGGTTGTGCTCTGGTAGCTCGCTACGTGCATGCGCTCCTCGGCCATGTATTGTTTCTCGACATCATCGTGGAAACATCCGAATACATTTGCAAACTCTATCACATGAGCACGATCTCCACGACACATCTCATCTCCCACTGTACCGTGCACTCTCAATGCCTTCACTGTGTGACGGCAATACGAAGTGCCACGTTTTCCACCTTACTCGATAGTCGGCACATGATCGTATCGCAGCGTTCAGTCATGCATCGTCACGTCTTCCAGGAAAATGTCCCGTTGCAAGGTAGTGTCCGCATTCGAGTATGATGTCATGGCTAAGTAGCATGTGTTTGAGCCCACCCTCCCATTTCGCTCGATAAAAAGATCCTCTGGTAGTAGCATTGTCCGCCCACGACAACAGCGTGCTGACGAACGCATACCATCGTGACATGGACCCAGTCGTGCTCTTCAAGACGTAGAGCCGAGTCCACTAGAAGATCCCGTTCGCTCCACTACCGCTGTTCCATACGTAACGACAGCAATCGTAACAAGTCACTTGCAGCTTTTTTCCATTCCTGTCACAGCCGCACAAACGTCTCCTCAATCGTTCAACAAACCACGTGACACGCCAAAAAGCTGCCGTGCCGGAAGCAAAATACCGGACATCTGTGGTATCTCTTGTCAGATCGCGCACCGGCGCAGCAGCATCCGCACTCGCAGCACTGTGTCGACATAGTGGGAGCGCATATGACCACACGATTCCAGCCACGCGTGCGTCTACGTCTCGTCACCAGCGGCTTGGACTTGGCACTCCTACGGACAGCACAGCGCAACGGCAACTGGGACGGACGTCCAGTCGGGGCTGACGCTTCTCGTAGCGGCCGTCTCGTACCGTCATTTCTGCTGGTTGTGGCTGGCATTGCGTACATATGCAGCACCTTGTGACACGCTCACAGTCATTGCTCGCCACACTACCTGAACGCACAACACACGCACCAGACTCTCTCTCTCTTTCTCTTTCTTTTCCCTGCACGAGGTATCCAACGAGATACAATTGTTTCGAGTGAGTGGTATTGGTTTTCGTGCAGAGACACAATACATATCTCGCCGCCGCAGCTACAGAGCCACTCGGGTCGTCAATCGTCCTCTATAATAAATACATCTCAACGAACCGCACAGCATCGCCAGACGTCCGTCCACGCGACCGAAGGCGCCACCGCACGACCAAAGACGTCTCGCGTCGACCGCGCGCACTAAAGAGACGGACGACGAACAAATGAGCCGACAGCCGCCACTCGACGTGCGCTCGTAGCACTCGCACCGCCGGTCACTCACTCAATCGCTTCGCTGAAGATGTACACGTTGTAGGCGACGCAGTAGGCGAGCGACGTGAGGAACGCCGTGGCCGTGAGCGCGCCGGCGTTTTCGGTAAAGCCGCCGTACATGCGCACGAGCTGCGCGTCGAGTTTCTGGAGCGGCAGAATAAAGACAAAGAGCAGTGCGACGCTGTTGACGCAGCACGTGACGAGCGTTAGACTCGCAATGGACCAGCGGTCGGCCGTGGTGTCGTCGGCCGCGCGCACAGGGAACAGCGCCACGCGCTCAATGGTCGTGAGCAGTGTGCTGGCAAAGATCTTGAAGATCGTATTGAACGAGAGCGCGAGGCCCACGACGCCGCCTTCCGAGCCCTCTTCAATGATCTCCGTCACGGGCGCCAGGAGCAGGAGCGCCATGACGCCCGACGCAACGCCCGTGAGGCCATTGAGGCCGACGTAGACGGCTGCGTGGCGGCACAGCGCCGGGACAACCAGCGCGGCCAGTGCGAGTTGCGGGACGATCGTCAGAACGGGCGCGAGCGCAAAGAAGCGCTTCCAGAGCAGGTTGCGCAGCTGCCAGCGCCAGACGAGCACCGTGAGGATCAAGACGACGTCGCTGGCGGTGCTGCTGAGGAGCGCCGACGGGCGGTCGCTCGTGTGCGTCCAGCGGCGCAGCGCGTGCGCCACGCGCGGGAAGTCAAAGTGGAGGAAAAACGCAAAGCTCGCGACGACAATGAGGATGCGCCAGACGGCTTTTTGTTTCGTGAGTTTCCAGTAGCTTTCGCACTTACCGCGGAGACTCTGTTTGCGCGCGGCGGGCGCTTCGTGGCCGCTGCGGAGCACGAGGGCAATGGTCGCGAGCGACAGGGGCATGAGCACGAGCAAGAGCAGTGCAATCTCGTGCACCTGCACAACGTGTTGGATCACGTACACGAGCACGCGCGCAGCCATTTGGCCCGCGGCGCGCACGACGAGGTAGTCGGCTTGGAACACGCCGCGCTCTTCGAGGCTCTCGCGCTGCGAGAGCGTCACAACGGCCGTGTGCACGGAGCAAAAGTTGACCATCGAGCCTAAGGTGACGCCGCCCATGAGCAGCATCATGACGTAGCTAAAGCTGCTGCCGACGACGGCGCTCTGCGCGAGCGCGTCGGCAAAGAGGCAGCCGAGGCCCAGCGCCGCGAGGCACACGAGGCTCAGCGACATGCCCAGCACCATGTACGACTTGCGGCGGTAGCCGTAGATGGGCACTGCGTCGGCGTAGAGGCCGACAAAGAACGCGAGCGCGGCCGGCACTTCCACGAGACGGTCCATGGCTTCCGTTTGGCTCGCGGTCAGTTGCAGTTGGTGGTTCACCATGGGCAGGAGCCCGTACCGCGCGCCAATGTAGATGAACGACGACGTGAACGTAGCGGCCACGAGGTCGGCAAAGACCGTCGAGAAGAACCGCACGAGGCCGCCAGGACGCAAACCGCCGTACATGTCATAGTTGTAAAAGTCCGGACCGGCAACGAAGCGGCTCGCGTTGAGGGCCATGTTGCTGTTGCCGTTGCTGTTGCCGTTGCCGTTGCCTTTCGTGGTGGTGCGCAATCGCGCGCGTATTCAAGTATCTCGCGTTATCGGGGCGGAAAGGCAACATGCTACACAAGAGGTTCAATAAGCCGAATAAGAGGTTCACGCAGCCGGGCGACACTTCGCCACCACGTTTCGGTCGTCGTGCAAAAAGTTGACTGATATCTTCCTACGGACGGAGGAAAAGAGGTATTTGCGCTGTTTTCGCTCACGATTGTACTGCAACTACAAGTACTACTACTACGGCAACTACCACTGGTGCTACTACTGCTACCACTACTGGTCGCATCACAACACAAAGTGCGCTCGTCAAAGCTTCACGCAGCGTCGGCGCGAGATCCCATGAACGTCGTCTGGATCGAACTCCTTTACGCAACGCACCGTCGTCGTCGTCGTCGTCGTTTCGTTTGTTTGTTTGTTTGTTTGCAATGGCCGTTACAGAACCTGATTACCAACACGTTCCCAAAACGCACACAGACGGTGCGTTGCATTCAACTTACGTTTACGACTACTTCACTGAGGTCGCAACCGTTTGGCTATCTTTTCTGTCGTCATATATATTTCGATACCAATGCGTCCGTCGCAGCTCGCGGCGACTCTCGAGCTGAATCGATCGCTGAGCAGCCAGCGGTTGGTTGAACACGTCATTTAGTAGCGAAAAACGCGTCTCGCGTGAAACGACTTCCGAAACGGTTGCGTCACGGATGGGGGCGTCGTCGTGTTTATATCACAGATAGGTACTCTAGCGAAATCGAGGAGTGGGACCTTTATAACGCCATTCACCATACAACGGGCACGATCGCGCGACAACGTCGTGTCGCTCGCCAGCTGTGTGAAGAGATCTCATGCCGCGCTCCTTATCCGCACTCGCACAAGCGACGGTCTTTACTAACGTCAACCCTATACGTCCTTTGTGCGAAGTAAACTACCTCATCGCTCTGCGATCCCTACAATGCAGACGAGACGTGCTCGCAACTTGACTTGCCATCTGACGGGCGCGTAGCCGCGCACTCGTCGTGGGGTCGAAATCTTGAGATCCTCTGTAGAGGTCGGCTCGTGCCTTCGGACGACTTTGCTCCGTCGGTTTGGACGCACGAAACTCTGTCGCTCGTGCCAGCAGACAAAATGACAACAAGTTGAGAGGGCCTAAAGAGCTCTTTCTGGGGACGTCCGCGGCTTCGATTCGTCTATCGTTTGTGCATTTACTACGAGCAAAACGAACTGTTGCTGCTTCGTAGCTGATGATGACAACCGCTTCTTTTCCGTGATGATCGGACCGTGTCATAGCTACGCCCCGACACATTTCAACCCGCGCATTGTGGCGATAGTTGCAGGGGTAGCAAATCGATTTGTGTCTGCAGAGTCGAACAGTTTTGATCAAAAGATGACGTGTAATGTCCCATCCGTCCGAATCATTGTAGCTGTAAGCTGCAAAACACGCGCTCTATGGCGGATTGACGGAGAGCTTCGACAGGACGTCTTACTTTAGCTGAGTAAACTTTCCCGCAAACACACACACGGGCGTCTATTATTCTCCACACATTTATCATGGTGCATGTTGTGCCGCAAGATGGGAGAGATACACCTGTCTTTCCCAACGTTGCACACTTATTGTGCCGGAGATGTGGCCGCGGAGACCACGATGGCCCATGACTTGTGGGAGCGGCTAAATACACCGCCGCCTATCCATTAGACTGAATGTTTATATGGCAACCGTTGTATCACGTTCGGACCACGTCACTTCGAATATTACAGGATAAGCTAAGTAGAAAGGCACCTGTTGCATAGCCACGTCAATTCAAAAAGAAAATCGTCGTTGTCTAACGCATGACGATGAGCCCTTCATCCATCTCCACTACTTCTGCTGCCACTGCTACGGTCGTTGATGTTGATACTAACTCTGTCGTCGCTGACAATCATGTTAGGTTCCAAGTTGATGCTGGCCCTAATCCTGCCGCCGCTGATCTCTCATGGATCTGTGTAGAATCTCCTCCAGTCGGGCTTTTTGACAGTTAAAAGACGGCTGTAGAGGCTCTAAAGCAGGACGCCGTACGCTAAGGCTTTGCTATTAGTGTATCCCGCGGCTGTTCGATTGGTCCCACGCGCAGTTTTCTCGCATGCTGGCAGAAATACCATTATACGAATCCCACAGTCGGCACACGTCAATGCTAGATCGCGAAACAAAAAAGGTCGGCTGTTCATGCGAGCTCGTGATCATGTATGACAAGCACGCCCCCGAAGAAACTGCCTGGTCAACGATTTTAGTGGACAACTGATACACCGGCCACTCTCGTTGTATCAGCAAGACCATGCTCTCGGCGCCACCGACGGCGCGACGTGCGACGCGGTACATTGACGATATTAATTCTGAGGTCGTCCAGATGCATCAGGATGGAGCTGCTCCAGGGGTATGTGTGCGTGTCGAAGTCATATACAGCAGGCCATTATCTGTTTTTTGTCTGTATGTGATTATCATAGGTTATTGTAAACCATTTTAAGGAAATGAGTGTCCTTATAAATGCCAAGGATGTCCACAATATCGTTCAGAAAGCAAAGAGAAGGGAACTTGGTGGAAAATTACACACGGAAGCTTTGCTGCAGCCTACGAAGGACCAGCATATTTTATCTACGGTTGCAGTGTTAGCCGCGTGTGCATTTTTAATTACCTTATTCTGTAATTTATTTGAATTAGCGTGGCCTGGCTCCGTTACAGGTGCATTTCTGATCAGCTTATCCTGCAATATTCGAAGTGACGTGGCCTGAATGTGATACGACTGTTGCCATTTAAATATTAAGTCTAATGGATAGGCGCGCGGTGTATTTAGCCATAATGCTAGGTGTATTTAGCCTCTCCCGTGATCTGTAGCCTCGCAGCTCATCGTGGTACGCTATCTGGTTGCACATCTCAGACGAGTCGCACAAACGTAACTTCTTCAAGTGACACTGTGGTGCCGACGTGAAGCGTTCGAAAAAGTGTCTGGAATGCTGATTGGAATGACAACGGAAAAGAGTGGTGGGTCCACCACGCTCGAGGTGTCAATTTCATCCCCTTGAACGTGTCTACGCCTTGACCAGACACGAATCACAGCAGATCTTTCACATGTCAGTGTTTCATTTCGTGGTCTGAAAAGCGGTCTCTGTTCATTCACGCGGGCACATTTTATACCCGACATGTCGATACAAAAGAATGTTGAAGGCCGTCGTCATGTGCAGCAGCTCGAACATATGCACACTCTATGGCTGCGTCTAGTATGAGTCGTAGGACTATATACTCTTTGCAACAACTGCACCATTTTGGTCTTCGAACATTCGCCGTCGAGCGTCAACCTGCTCTCGATTCTGTTCATAGTCGCACCTTTACGACATTGCGGATGCACGCGTCAGTACCTTTCTCGATGCTTTTGTGCCCATCGATAGCATCTTCGACATCCGAGACGGTCACAGTTGATGCGATTTTGCAGGCGCTTGATTGTGTACGCATCACAGCAAATGTGTTCGTAGTATTTGCCAAAACAGCACTCGCTGGCAAAGCAGCTACTCGTAGTTGAGTGTTCGCGTTGCTGAACGCCGTTTTGAGATCGTCCGATACACAAGCACCGCACTGCTTAGTGTGCTTGTCACTTTGGCTGACGACGACTAGGTCTTCCTGAGCTAGCTGTCGTCAGCCAACGTGAGCAGATCTACAACGACATTGAGAAATTCTGCCTTTACATGCGCTGTCTGCTATTTGCACACACAACAAAGCAGAAAAGTGTCGAGATATAGACGCGATCACGATGAAAACGATGTTGCCACATTGATTCATACGTTTTCGGCTTACGAAGGTGCTCATGATGCATTTCTTCGACCGAGCAGTCCACTAGCACTTAGTATGCCACGTGTTGGCCAGAACGCTCTACAGCACTCATTGTTGGGTTAAGAGGCGCTAACTCGGTAGGGACTTGCGCCGACATCACACGCCGGCTTTCCATGGCCGTAGCCGACTCATGAATCGAGTTGTAAAAGTAGCAGTGGTAGTAACCAACTAGTGTACGAGCTACGGAAAGTTGGTGACTTCGACCAAGTAGCGCGCTAGCTTTGCTGCACGACTACATAACTATCATGCATCTCTCTGGCCTACAAATTGCTCATGTACACGTTTGCATTGGGAAAGTCAAAGTACGTTGTACAGAGAGCTTGCACTCGTATATCTATCGGTCTATTATCCGACATCACTTCAACTGTCGAATAGCAATAATAAACTTCAGCGCCGAACGTTACCAAGTGTAGTCGATCAATGTGGCTAAGCCTCAGCGTATGTCATGTGTATGTGTCAGTCAATCTTACGGAAACGGTCTTTGCTAGTAAGATCGTAGCGGATTGATTTATCTGTTGTTCACTCCTGCCTATCAACGATAGATAATAAGAGTCTAAGCTACCAGTGCTCGACGTGCTATTCTCCTGCGTACGTGCGTGTTTTCTGAGGTCCCAAGAAAGCTGGAATGTTGTGCAGCACACAACGATGTAGGTCCAAATCTTTCGATACTGGCAAACATCATCGAGCAAACTGTAGTTGGTGAGCACGTATACACACTTACTTCTGTACTTACGTGCTGGCGCCTTTGATATCATCATTGCCGTTGTAGCATACACGCCACATGATCGCGCGTACCTGCAACAATTCTGACTCTTGACGTACTAGTGCCAAAAGGTATAAAAATAGTGGAATAACACTCTCCCATGGTGTATCACGCATGACGCTTCGGATTATCCTACCGAGTTGTTTCGTTCATTATGCAGGGTCTTAGTTGTAAGCTAAGTTGTATGCTCCGCAAGCCATCTTGAAGCCATTTCGTAGCCTGTTCAGCTTTTTAGTGTTACATCGCTTACTCGAGCTGGTCCAAAACATGGCAGTTTCGTATCACTTTGTGGTGTGTATTCATTTCATGACCGCGTTTGGATGGTGCTTGTTTTCATTAGGGCGCTCAACATTTGCTGGGTTCGACGAGACGCCCATACATCATCAGTATTGCCACGCGACCCTATCATCATTCCTACTACGGGTATGGAGACAGTCGGTGTGTTAATGAGTGTTGAGAATGGGGGATGAGAGTAACAAAAATCGATCGAGGCTCTGATACTAGCGCGTGCTATATCGTACGTCGTATCACTGTCTTCTTGCTTGATGGTCAATCAAGCAGCTAGAGTTGACCTTTTCATGCTCAATTGTGTGTTCATGCATCGACCGCGGTGTCCTAACCTTTGGCACTCAATGTACGAGCTACTTATTGGGTACGGCGAACTAGCTGTACCGTTGCAACTGTTGCCGTCGAAAAGACAATACTGCCTCTGTATTAAACACAACGATGCCACTGATCGTACTGCAATTGCTACGTTTGTCTGTTAAGCGAGCCTAAATTCGCGAATACTTTAGCAAGTACAGGCTGGACGTTGAGGTAGCGGGCGCAGCCACACAGAGTGCAGCTGGAATGAGTCACATTCCTTGCTGATTGGATTACACACTCGTCCGAATCACTCACTTTTCAATGCCTCTTTCACAGATTTTCATTGAAACGGGTCCTTGGGTAGTTCGGATAAAGTAGTATGCAAGCGACATGCTTGTGCTAGCACTTTGCAATCCGAATTTACGTTTCACCCTTTCCTTCGAATACTCAGGCATACGAACCAACACTATGCCATTGCGTAGAGTGGTTCCTCGATGCAACTGCTGCACATCAGCTTACGTGCACTAGCGCGAATTCGGTCTTTCTTAAGATCGTGTCTTTCTCCAGCATTTGTGTGAACTATCACAACTGTCGCTATATAGCCAGTCAATTATTCATGCTGCCTTACTTATGGTCATCCTCGTCGATTCCATTGACCCACTTGCGATCTCGCACGTGTCGAAAGGACATACAAGGATACGAGCCATACTTACAAAGACAAGAGACTGGTGTCAAAAGTTACATGAACAACCGTAAAGCTCTCACCTCTACCACTTTCCACATTCTGCCTATTGATATAAACATCTTGCTCTTACACTACGTTGACATATGTGTCAAACCTGTCGAGCTGGGATGGTCCTTTCTGGCTGAGTATCGTAGCTTTGGACATGCATCACCTGAGGGCGAAACATTCGTGTTTAGTCGCGGCACAAAATGTGCGCCGATTCCATCACTACGCCTCGTTCGACTAGACTGCCATTTGTACACGTTTCATTTCTATGGGATGTTCTGGGTGTTGTTGCAGCCAGGTACAAAACGATGAAAGTGTGACCGTTACTCTTGTTCCTGTTCTATAGCAGTCTATGGTCACAAGATGCCTTGGCGTTGCTTCCTTGGCAGTGAAAGTAAGCTTGAAGAATTAACTGCAGATATGCATATGCGAAGAACAAAGCACAAAGAGTGCAGCACTCCTTCTTTGCATAACTCTGTGGAAGAAGAGCATTTGCGACAAGATAGCAAGTTTGTAACGTCGACCAAATCGACAAGATTAGCTGTCAATTTGTTTGCGCAATACTGCTGACCACACTTTGCAGCACATTGACAAAAGCCATTATACCAAAGATCAGTGTCGTCAAGAAAAAAGAGCTCATTCGATAGAGCGTCTAAGGACGTTGCATCAGACCTTACAAATTTGTTTCGCTGACTGCGTCGAGAAACAGCACAGAAACATGTCCTGCAGCAACAACGCAATCTATTGTACACCTCTACCCACCCAGTCGCCAAGAATTGTGTCCGAGCAATTGTTGCAACTCGACTTCTCTTCAACCAAATAGAGTTGCATCGACACCACGAAAAGACAGCTTTTGTCTCCACGTGCATCGTCTTGCAGCGATCAATTGATTCCTGGTATCAGGTATAAAGTCGCGGAAGAGAGATGACATTGACAAAGAGAAGGAGGGAACATCACGGATGGAAGCACTTATTCGTTGTAAACGAGGAAGGACAACATATCCGTTGTAACGTGGCTATGGTCGAGAGAGAGAGAGAGAGAGAGAGAGAGAGAGAGAGAGAGAGAGAGAGAGAGAGAGAGAGAGAGAGGGTAGTTTCTTCCGAACTTTGAGATTTTGACCGACCACGCATTCCTTCGTAAGCACGAAGCTATTTGACTGTATCTAAGTATCAACGAAACACCTTCTTCTAGAAAAGTCGACAATGGGCTAATTTGTAGCCCTTTACTCGACAGCGGGCCAAAAGGCACACCAATCTCTGATACCTGGTACGTTTCGTGCACAGCAAGCACGACAGCCTTCCTCGCAAACGTTCAACTAGTGCACATGCGCCAGCCCAATCCGTCAGGCCATTAGCACGCATAGCTTGGTCAGTCGCTTTCTTATTCGTATCACTCAGGATAGTCGGCCTAATTATGAGGCATTCCATTACAGATCGGGCGAAAATAGGATAGTAGCTTGCTCGATCAACGACTTATGTGTTCTATCTGTGGTCCACATATTCTTGTGCGCATCAACGCACACAGTCAATCAATCAGCAGTTGTCCACACACACACACGTGGAGTGACAGATTAGACCGTCGCACCCATCACCACTACCCGCCCAAAGTTTCAGGTCAAAAATAGTGTCGTGGCCGACTCATCCGTACTACTGCACTGCCATTTGTGTACGCGGTGGGAGAAGAGTGGGGGGAGGGGGAGGGAAGGGGGGGAGGGGGGGGTGACGTCTGTACCCTCTCCCCCTGATTCTACGACAGAAAAAAGCTCTGTCGTCTGTTCGTAAACTGGACAAAAAATCCAGCAAATCATCAGGTCTCCAGCCGCGCTGCGCTTTACTACAAATCGAAAATAGTCCCACAAATCCACGAAAAAGAAACAGAACTGCACTTGACTCGACTTGCAAACCCTCGACGTCGCCGTGGAGAAGACAGATGGAGCCGCATTATCGACCGAGCATAGCCGAGTGTTTCTGCCTATGTTGCTCGACGGGAGCACTATCCTGCACAAGACCTGTCGAAAGATTCGCCTCTCGACCACATGGTGTCGATCAGAACTCGGCTTTCTACCAATCAACAGCAAGACCCCCCCGAGGTCGTCCGGAGGTTCGCCCAAAACGTTCAGCACGTCAGCCAGCAGCTCTCCCCTACCCCCGCTCCCGTCTTGTTTGTCAGGGTTGCGGGAACGTCCCTCAGGATAGGGACCCCCCCCGTCAACTACTAACGGCCTCTACCGTCGTATCGACAAACCCCACAAACCCCACAACCGCTGCTGCCCACGTGAGCAGTCAGTCAGTTGGCAAACTCCCCACTCACACACTCACGCACTCACTCAATCGCGTCACTGCCCACTGTCACTGTTCCTCGACCCCTCTCCCCCCTCTACCGACCACCACACGTCACACGTCCACTTCTCCCCCTCTCTCTGTGTGTCCATTCAATATGCCCCCACTATGGCCCTCGTCGCCGCCTCTCCGCCGCGCGCGTGCGCCGTCGCCTGTTGGGCGCTCGTGGCCACGTCGCGCGTCCGCAGCGCAAACGTCACGACGCACCCGACCAAGTCGGGCATTGGCGTGTGGGTGGACCCCGACACGCCGCGCGACCGCTACGTGTACCTGAGCTCGCGCGGGCGGCCGTGGGACCTCGTGATGAGCGACGAGTTCAACGTGGCGAACCGGAGTTTCCGCCCGGGCGACGACCACATGTGGACGTCGCTGGAAAAACCCGACGGCGTCAACGGCGCGCTCGAAGTCTACTCGCACAACATGACGTCCACGGCGTGCGACGACGACGGCACGTGCTACTTTTTCATCCGCGCGGTCGACGAAGTGACGTCCGTGCGCGTGTACAATATGTACAAACACCCGCCGGCGTTCGAAGAAGTCTATTTCTACTACCGCGGGGCAATGGTCCAATCGTGGAACAAGTTTTGCTACCAGGGGGGATGCTCGAAATCCGGGCCCAGCTCCCTGGCGTCACGGACCCGGCCTCGGGCAACCCCGACGCGAAGCTCGGGCCCAGCGCCCGCGTCATGAACACGGACTTTTACCCGACGTGGCCCGGGCTCTGGATGCTCGGGAACCTCGGGCGCGCCATCTTCTCGGCCTCGACGAACCGCATGTGGCCGTTCTCGTACAACGAGTGCGACGACGACGTGTTCAACTCGTCGTTCCAGCGCATCAGCGCGTGCGACGACGACCCGGGCTTTGGCCTGCACCCGCACCAGGGCCGCGGGGCCCCCGAGATCGACGTGCTCGAGGGCGCGGGCACGACCGTGTCGGCGTCGGCGCAGATTGGCCCGGGCATGCCGGACGAGTACCGGCTGTTTTTCGTCGACCAGTCCACGGGCGACTCGGACTATTGCCACTTTACCTACGAGTGCAACACGATCGGGGCCAACCACGTTGACGTGCCGACGGCGTACTACGCCGCGCGGCGCGACCACAGGTCGTGGTACCAGGGCTTTCGCTACGGGGCCAACAACTTTTGCCGCCCGAACAACGCGATGAAGCAGGACTTTGAGACGATCGAAGCGTCGCTGGAAGCTGGGATCACGATCAACTCGTGCACCGTGGACAAGTGCCCCGGGTCGGGCGACGTGAACGGCGACCTGGGGCTCATTGACGGCAAAGGACCCGGCCACTGGAACATTAACACGAACGGCACGTGCTTTTCGCTCATGAACTCGTACTTGGGCTCGTACTTGTGCGACCCGGACAACACCCATAGCAAGTGTCCCGAGCCGCGCGACCCCAACACGACGGCCCCGGCCGGCGCCATGAGTTCGTTCAACTACCAAATGGACGCGCTGTCGTCGAATTGGCCGCTGCATTTTGGCGCGTACACGGGGTACCTTATCTACCAAGTCGAGTGGGTGACGGGCAAGAATGGCTACATCCGCTGGATGCTCCATGGCGCGCCGTTGTTTGAAATCCCGGCTGAGGCGGTCGAGAACGTGCCGCAGAGTGCGAAGAAGAACAATCCGAAGAAAGTTATGATTGAGGAGCCGCTGTACATCATTATGAACGTGGCGCTCTCGAAGGAGTGGGGTTCGATGCCCCCCGAACCGAGGCAAACCGTGCCGTGGCGATGGAAAGGACCCTGTGGCGAACGCCATTTGTGACTCGTTTCCACTGTACATGAAGGTTGACTACATTCGGCTGTACCAGGACCGAGGCACGGATTTGGAGGACGACAACTACATGGCCGTGACATGCGATCCCGCCGATCATCCAACGAAGGAGTGGATCGAGGGACACATGGATGAGTACGAAGACAATGACAACAAGGTGGTGGAAGTCGCGGGTAAGGCGTTCTGTAAGACGAGCGACGATTGCTCGATCGGGGGGCCGTTGGCCAAAACGTCGCTCAAGACGGGCAAGTGTGTGAACCAGCGCTGCGAGTGCATGTACCACTCGTGGGGTGGCCCGCGCTGTACTACTGCTACTTCCGGCTCGAGCTCGTCGGAAGAAGGGGTGATGAGCCAAACGTTTGGACCGTCGATGGGGGTCTCGATTGCACTTGCAGTCGTGGCGTGTCTGCTGTCTGCGCTATCTGTCTACAAGGCCGTCACGAAATCGGCGAAACAGTCGAAGGTTGCGATGGCTGCAGTGAATGCCCAGCGAAAGGCCGCGGCGATCTCCGAGACTGGATCGAACAGCGAAGGCAGTACCAACATTGCCCCGGTGTCGAAGGACAACTATCGTCAGAACTTCGTCTAGACGCGCCATCATCATCACCAGTCGTGTCCGAAGGACATTAAATTTTATGCTTTTGCCGTCCGAAGACTCGACTTTGTTGTGTTGCCGTCGATCGTCGATCAAACGCAGTGCTACTTGTTGTGCTTTTGCTCGTACTTTGGATACGTGTCGAGTCTTTTGTGCGCACGACGCTGGGGCAATGATACCGCAGTGGCCGATGAGTTTTTGGTCATTGCATGAAGCTCAAATGCACTGGCAATGAGGATGTGGGAATGTCAGATGAAGACGTGTTCGCAAACGTTCCGGGACGCCGTTGCATGCTCCCTACACTTGGCGTTTACCACAGAGTAAGCTGTCTGAGTGCAAACGCGTCTGAAGAGAATGTCAACTTTCTGCTACACTGTCTGCTGTTACATGTTCGATCTCGAATGTATCTCCATGTCTGCTGTACCGAGTTCACCTATGTAACAAGGGTCGAAGCGAGTCGAGTAGAACCACACATCAAGGGACGAAACGTGACTACCCGGAGCTATCCAACTTGCCGCGTCATGACTTAGCTTGTAGCCCGCAATACATATGGACCAGCTACGCTGCAGATTTGCACGCCCGGATCGAGCGCCTCACGAATCATATCTACCTTGTCGAGAGTGCCGTCCTTTGACAAATCGACCGACACAAAAAGACAGCAGTGCATAGCCAGCGCGTATACTTCAGCCTTCGATGCAAGAGGAGACGTCATCTACATCTTTGTCCGGAGTTTGCTTGGCGAGAACAGTTCGTTACTTTTTTGTTTCACGTACCGAAACGCGTCGATGATTTCTTGTCTACTACGGGCATACTTCAAAGCTTCAGAGAGCATCGCCGATGGACAAGATCAAATAGCGATGACATCAATATGCAGGTTGGTGCCATCTACAAACTGGGTCCGTGGTACGGTGTATGCAACAATTGAGACACTGCCGTGATTCGAACTTGAGATCAGCTTCTGCCACGTCAATTTGCTCACGACACAGATCTATAGCGTTTGTTGCAAGAGCTGAATATCGATCCCGAAGCGCTGTTTGCCGATGGAAGTACGCCTTCTTACTGAATCGAAAGCGACGCTGGTTCACGAATAGCACGGACAAAATAGGATGAGAAACAATCAAGGCTTACAAACCAGCAAGACCGCTTCGACAAAGCGGGTTCGGTTATACACGTGCATCCTATGACGAATTGACTGGTTTGGGCCAGAAACACAACCGATCAACGATCACGAGCTGAGATCGATCCAGCGTTTGATCTCAGCAAGGAGCTTTGTCGTGACTAGTAGTCGATAATATTGATAAGCGCGTGGTTGGAACGACTCAAAAGTTACAGTCGACGACCTAACTTGGTACAGAAAGTATGCAACACTCGATGCTTGAGCTGACATGTTCTGAAATGGAGATTCAGCGGTTGGTAGACATCAAGTATCTGCTCAGTTACAGATTGTATAATCCGACCGCAAAAGGTGCACAAAGTACGGTCAGTTGCCAGCAAACAAATCGATGCACACACGTACATACGTGTTCATGGAATTGCTATACAAGGTACCCATAGCGTGCATAGCAGTACTTATGCAGAGCTTGTCACCGCAGATAAAGCACGTATGTACATTCGTCCACGTTTCGATCAGAAGACTGTAAGCCGTGCGACGTCAGTTGTCTCTTGTGCACTTGTGCTGTTCATTCATTTTGTGAGAGCTTTTGCATCGATCTTACCAGGGTGACTTTCGAAGGCAAGTGCTTCATTGCTGGTTCTATAGCTACCGCCAATTCATTCGCAATATAGCCCTTGTTACCTCGTTTGTGCTAAATCAACTCCTTCGAGTCCATGAATTTCTCCAAGACCTTGGCTACGGTAGGCTGGACACAGAAGGATGACACCTGGAACTGGTCCTATACCCGGGTCCTAGGACCAACAACGGTCTATGAGGATGATGCAGTCTTCTCATTTCCTGACGAACCTACCATCGACGTTTACTGAGCCAACGGCGCTTTTGGACGTGGACCAGGCGAACCTCTTCATTCGCAAGACCCGAATGTTTTTATAACGCACCTCGTACATTATCGTCGTCTTGCTTTAGATCTGAAACGACTATTATGAGTGGTGACCGACGCCAACTAGTAACATAAAATATCGTGATATATATGCTGACATACTCGGTCGTTTCACAAACTCCTTGGGAGTGATGCGGACCAGCGTTAAAATACGAACACACATCTGATTTTCAAGTAGTTAAGCAGAGCCTCATCATATCCCGGCCATGCTTTGCCTGGCCCCGGGCAGAATTTGTAGGGTCGTCTGTGACGTAGTCGACATTGACGCAGGCTGTGCACTGAGAGTGAATTGGCGTGCAAGTGCGATCGGAATTGACTTGTAATAGACCGGGGCTGCTAGATACATTCTTCGTGTTCATGATATCCAGTCACTACGGTGCGCACCACCTATAACCTGCAACTTTTTTCTTCGGCGGCCTGATTTGAAAACGACAAAATTATACTTTTCGCCTTTTCCGCAACCAAAACGCCTTATCCAACGCCCCCGTCGCACTGCACACAATAAGCACGTCATTTGCACGTTTCCAACACCAATCAATGTACCAGACTGTCAACAACCAACCAACATGCCGCGCCCCAACAAATGGCTACGGCACTTGCAGGTTATGAGGGCAGTTGCTGCGCCCACAGTGCCATACAAAATCAATATGATTCTAAGAACCAAAAAGAGCTTTTGAAAGAGAACACCGCTGCGGCCGGCTATCACATCATTTGCCCTAGGTTGTGTTGCAAACAGACCTTTACCGAGTTGTTCTTGGGAGAAAATCAAATGCCATGCTCATAAAAATTGCGTCTGCACGTTCATAGGCCGCGAGCATATGGTCCCAAAATCCCTTGCATCCATCTATCTCATTCCCATTCGCCGCCATTATCGAAAGTGTTTCGGGTACATGGACGTATATTGCAAGATCCTGTTGGGAGGGCCGCCGAATACGCCGTAAATAAGTATCGGTCGCATTGTAACGTTCCAAAGCGTTTATAACGGATGTGAACGTTTTAGATGCTGCCAATAATTGTGCTTTGCAATAGCTTTGGCAAAACGTGATGGGCAGTACATCCACTGTGAATGTGGTACGTTTGAGTACGTGTACCCTGTGGTGTACTGGACACATAAATAAATGCTGTACGGAGTACATTCATTGGGATCTAATACCTATCAGCAGCCACCCACAAATACGACTATCAGGTTTTACTCCGACGGGGCGAGCAAACCTTACATTTAGGTTCTCAAATTGGATTTCATTACCGGTTCAACAACTTCCTAAACATCAGGTCGCATTTTGAGCCATAGGAGTCAGGCGTCTTGAGAATGCGTACTCTTGAACACTGCGCTGTTAATTATTTGGATTGGTTGCTTTGTACGATAGAAGACTCTTTAACTTTTACACCCACACGACCATTCGAGCTTGTTGAATGTGTGAGTTATTGCCTTAGTTCGTAGGAGCCTCTAAATCTTTTTATCGTTCGACCGAACGAAGTGGCTCATAGAGCGTAAGTCTTTCTTTGAGTTAGACTGTGTCGATGCCTTCGTCATTGGAGGATATGTTCGTGTACTGGATAAAACCCATCGTTCATATCGGAATGTGTAATTCGAGAGACTTGCTCAAGAGCGATTATGGACGTTTAGCTCGAGGTGAGGCACATTCGATTCATCGAACGGAAGAGCCTTACCGAGACGAGCTGCTGAGCCTCAGTAAGCCGCCATTAGTGTCTTTTGGAGTAGTAGAAATACAGCTTGAGTACAAGATGCATGAAAGTGTCACAGAATGAAGAGCCGAGGAGACTAGCTAAAGTGCACTACGCAAGCGCATGGTGAGCTTGGTGACCTATGATCCCCTAAAAAGTCGAACGTACACTCTTTCGTGCGAAAATAAATTGTGATGAACGGAAGCTGTTGAGCCCAGAAAGGCTTCCAGAACAAGTGGTTGCAATAGCAAGGAAGACGTAATCCAAAATCGATCTCAGTGTAAGCGGCCCTAGAAGAGACACATCCAGATGTATTAGCTCCTTTCGTCGACGCAACTCGTCAGTATGCCGTTGTTTTAGGTCGTGGATGCATAAGCTTGGGTATCACTACCAGGTACGCCACTCGCGGATGTCGATCCTTCCTGCTTAGAAAATGACAAATGTCGGGCAGCACGATCACTAGAAGGACAACTTCAGCAACGGATCGGTGCCGTCCACAGCAAATGTATGCCTACTCGCAACCGCGGGCACTTTACTGAACCGCCATTAGGACTCATGACACTGGCAGGTTCACTTGGGGCAAGCCTATCACGTAGCTATGTTTAGTCCGAACAACTACAGTCTTTATGTCTTCGGCGATGGCGCCAGAGGTAGCCTTGAACCGGGTGAGTCAGGACGGGCTAGTATGAATGTACGTACAAATACGGGCGCACATCACGTGCACCTGCTAATGCACTTATTGACGAGTGTTGCTGCATGATGATGAGGATAGCAAACGCGTCTGTAAGCCATGACCCGACTATGTTGACCTGAAGATTATCACACTTGGGTGATGATTTTGAACAATGCCGCAACACTGCTGACTAAATGAAGATAGTGCAATGGGCATGCCACCCACGTCATTTCGATTATATGGCAGATGTCCTGGTCAATGTAGCGTTCTGTATAAAGACAAGCACGCTAGTATTATCGGGGGACATTGCGTCAATGATCTTAACACGAAAGTGGCTTCGGACCTTTCGAGGGGGACAAAAGGAGCGATTCAGTGACCATACATTCGCCTTTGGTCAATCGAGCACGGATGAGACTAGGATACAAAAATCAGGGAGGATCGAATACACTGCGTGCTCGAACACTGAAGCTGCTAGAAAATTGTCGGGAGCCGTGTATGTCTAGACAGCTCTACATAGGCGAACATTCAGATCACGTTAACGACTATGCGCCTCGCAGGGAAATATATCAGCGTAGACCACA